CAAATTTAGTCCCAATTTTTTCATTTCCCTAGTCTTTTGCAGAGGTGGTATTTCGGAACATTGGTTTTTGCATGATTTTACACACACCGGTGATTTGCATGGGTAACACAGTTGCCTGATTTTATTTTCCCTGAACTTCTACCAAACATGGCATAAATCAATTTTCACCCTCACTTACCCAGCAATCCCACAAGAAGCCAGCTACCAAACGCTCCCTAGAGGCAATCTAGATTCAGCAAGGTTGTTGAATAATAGCATGTATTTGGCCGATTTTTTGTATAGTAAATTATATCGAATTATAACATATAAAAAATAATTTAAAAAATATATAATATATTTAGAGATGTGCAAAATAACCAAAAAAATTGAACCGAACTGAAATGCACTTAAAATAACTAGTTTTTAAAAACTAGTTTGTGAACCGAACCAGTTTTTAAAAAACTAATTCATGAACCGAACCGATTTTTAAAACCAGTTCAATAACCGAACCAATTTTTAAACCAAACCGAACCATTTTCAAACCGAAGCAAACTGATTTCTATTACTTTTTTTTTTAATTTTTTCTTTTTTTTTCTTTTTAGAATAGGATTAACCCGAATTGGTTCCAAACTAAACCATTTCCAACCGAATTAAACCACTTCCGAACCAAATCAACTTGATTTTGAACCGAATCAAACCATTTTTGAACCGAACCATTTAAACCAATTCGATTCTATTCAACTCATGCACACCCCTAAATATACTTAATATCATATAAATTCAAATTTCAAAAAGGATCCCATCAACAAAATTACATAACTAATTGAAGTGTGAATCAATCATTCTTCTACTCATCAATCATCAAGAATAATATTATCATTATCATCGCAAGAGTGAAAATATATGGGCGTTACCTAGATCTCCTCGTCTTGCACCAACACTAGTTGCCAGTAATAATCCCCACCCTTTTAATTGCCTATGCTGAAGAGCGAGCTCCCTTTTGTCCACTGGGTTTTTTAGGAAGTTACAAATATAATTTACTTATACTGATTAGTTTGCCGGTCCATCTACTTGCACAAATACAACTAACTTTATATTACTTTTATTCAAGACATATAAGTTTGAATTGAAATAAGTGGCTTAAACATTGCTTAACTTTTGAAACTTAAATGATAAAATAGAAAAAATATCAATTAAAGAACAAAGTTGAAACAACAAATAAGTTGAGACTTCTTGCCATACAGATGAAATACATTATAACAATGTATCAAAATAAATAAAATAAATATAAGTCATAACCGGTGAATAAAAGCCTTAAGTTCAACAAAATGTTGCAAAAATCATTTTAAACTCTTAAATGCTACCACAAAAAACTATTACCACCAGAACAGATAAATCAAGTCAATATGAGAAACGGCGTTAACATGGAATAACACAACTTTAACATACTAGAAAACAAAATTTAAGGCAACAGATTCATGAAAGGAGGACCTATAAAAGAGCTTCTCGAAAATCTCAAATAAACTAGATAGCAAAATGACCAATCAACATTCTCAATACAACTCTATTATCCACCCTCGTATCTGTCCAAAAGTATATTCCAGAAGGTCTTCAGACATATAACAAGTAAATAAATAATAAAGTATATATAGGTAAAATCTACAAAAGATCAATATCTACTTTTGAAAGCTAAGCAAGTTTATTACTACTCATAAGGAGCGATTTAGTAATTGGCCAATCAAGTTAAAAATTATAAGAAAGGAGCTCACATTATGATTTTACACAACAGCATTTGAAATCCAAGAAAGTGTGCTTATGAGATCAAATCATGGAGCTTGCTCACCAGCATCTTGCTTGTCCAGTTTCTGCACAAAAACAACAAACCTTAGGTAAGATATCTCTGCTCAAGGATATTTGACAGTATGATAATATCACGGTATCATAAGAAAATTAAAAATCCATAAACATTAAGCCTATACTTTGGCGGCATTTGAAAAGAACACATCCAAACCAAGTAAATCAGTGGAGAACTGATATAATAATCAAGATTTCAACCAAAACAATCACTACACAATTCATTGCAGAGAAAATTCGAAGATTAGATAATTCGAATATACTAAATTCACCTAAATTTTTGAAGCAAATAATATAATTTGTCACCGAAATGGAGATCCAAACGGCTTGTTCGATAAGATAAAACGCAGTGAGACAGCGATAATTATAGAAAAGGAAGATAAGAAAATCGAAGAGGCAGAGAGAGAGAGTACGGATTGAGCGTTGTGCCAAGCAAGGCCTCTGTAAACATTGACGGAGAAAGTGGCAGTAAGGTAAATAGTAGTGATTCCGAGAGTGGCTGTGAATGCTTTGAAAGCATAATCCCCAACCTTACCCGCTATTCCCATTCTCGATTCGGAACTCTCTCTCTCTCTCTCTCACGCACTCACCAAAACCAATTAGGGTTTCCCTGCTCCCTTCTCCTCTGTAAACAAGCGTATTTTATTGCATCGAATGCATTTCTGATCGAATGGTTCAAAATCCCCAAACTTATACTTTATTATTTTGACATGAGAAATGTATTATTTAAATTTTGGGAACCTCTATCGTTAAAAACTAACGGTGAGGACTGAGGATCGTAATATTAATTTACAATAATTTAAGCATTTGTCCGTTCCAAAGCTTTTATTCGGATGGTGTAATTTTATTTTATTTTATTAATTTGACGTAACTTTAATTTTATTTTTTAAAAAAAAATTATAAAAAGTTACATTATTTTGAGAAAAGGGATAGAATATTATTACTGGGCAAAAAATGTTATTACCAAAATCACTATCATATCTTGACTGTTGATTTCTGTCAATCAACAGTTATTATTTATTGTGATTAATTATTTATTACTGTTAAAAAATCACCTCAAATATATAATAGAATAATATAATATCATGTCCATATTATTTTGGAAAAAGGAAAAACATCTATCCTTTTAAAGGATATAACTTTATATCATTTTAGATCCTAACCGTTGATTTATGTCTATCAATGATTATAATCTATTGGGTCAAACTTAATGGGCCACATTTATTATTAATTAATTAATAATTTTGATCCAATAAATTATAACCATTGATGGATAAAAATCAACAGTTAGGATCTAAAATGATATAAGTTTCTATCCTTTAAAAGGACAAATGTTATTCCCTTTGGAAAAAGTTAACAACCCCCCCCCCAAAAAAAAAAAATAATAATAATAATTTTCGTTTGAATTATTTATTCTCTATAACTTTTTATCCAAAAACTTAACTAATTTATCTGTTTTCCTTTTTTTTTTTTTTTTTTTTGATAACATCTGTTTTCCTTTTTTAAAAGAAGAAAAAAGACTAAGAACAAAAAAATAGAAGAAAAAAATAAAGTCAAATATATTTGAAACTTACAACACTGACATAAAAAAAGGAGAAGAAGACCAAATGATGTAAACATTCATACGGGCAATTTGGTGGAGAAATTTTGTAAACACTAGAATTTAGGAAGTATATTTTACACGTTCAGTTGTATATTGAAGTTAAACGACGCGTGGTTGGGGGGTGGCGTATTTTTCTTAGTTTTGTGCAAGTGGTGAAACTTCACATAGTCGTTTTGTTGTGAAAAATAATATGATGACATGTCTCGGGACCACGATTAAAATGTCATATTATTCGTAAAAAATTATCTAAATGTTATGGATTAGAGTTTTTTTTTCCAAAATACTATGTGACCTAACTCGCTACAACACCTTGCGAGTAACTCGCTACAACACCTTGTGAGTTAGGTGTGGACATGTGCCAGCAGGTTCATAGCCACATAAGTTGTGCATAGTGCAACAAAATTACGTAGCAGTCAAACTCGTTATGCTGCATAACATGTTATGTGCCAGCTTGGCGTGTTACATGTCTGACACATGTCAAACTCGCTATGTTGCATAGCATATTACGTGTCAGCTTTTCTGGCACGTGGCCATATGTGCTGTGCTGCATAGCATATTATGTGTAAGTAGCCCAACAATCCAGTATTTTTAGTCTAATAAATTCACCACTCCTAAAATAATTTAAATTAATAAAAGTAAATTAAACTAAATTAATTAATAGACATAAATTAAATTTAATTCCTTATCACTTCTAAATTAAATTAAATTACTTAACAGTTCAAAACAATTTTAACTTAAGATAAATTAAATTGAATGAAACGAAATTAATTAACACTCATAAAAATAATTAATTAATAGTTCTAAAATAATTTAAATTAATATAAACTAAATTAATTATCAGACATATATTAAATTAAATTACTTAATAGTTCAAAAAAAAATTATGTATTACATTTAAGTCTTGTAATCTCGCTGCACTATATAGTAACTTACGTGGCCATGAGCATGCCGCCATGTGTCCACACCTAATTCGCTAAGTGTTGTTAGGGGTTAAATGATATGGCATTCTGGAAAAAAACTTCCAGTAGGTGGCATTCAAGTAATTTTTTGTGAATAATATGACATTTTGATCTTATCCCACATGTCTCTTTGTCTCATTTTTCTTATTAATTTTTTTTTATAAATAAGCTGATAAGTATTACATTATTCCGATTCTAAGTTTCGGCAAATTTTTAAAACAATGATAACTGATAAGTATTACATTAATTTTTATTTTTTTAGAATGAGTCATGCCCTAAAAAAAAAACCTACTGAATCGTGGTCAAGAGAGAAGATACAGTCTCTCCTGTAGAAGAATTTATGTGGATAAGCTGCAAATTTTACACAAGATTTATTTGAGTTTTTTTTTTTTTCACAAGTCATTACCATATTACTTTTAAAAAAATTAAAAAGGGAAAATAACGGGGTCCCCACTCCAGTTCATTATTAAGACCCATTCTCTTCCTTTTATTAAGCTGATAGTACTAAATAAAAAAAAAATAGCCAAGTAAAGAAAGAATGAAAATGAAAAGGACACCTACTCTTGAAAGGAAAAATAATGAAAAAGCAAACTTCATTGGCTGGGTATGTAAGTAAGTATATAATCAGCAAAATTTGTATTGCAAACATGACCCCGGAAAAGGGCAGTAACAGCATATATAATTTATGTTTTATAACTGATAGAATATAATGCTAGCCATTGATAAGCTAAGGATGAACGAAAAGTAGATATATAGTAACAATATATTACTAACACATTCCACAGCTCTACCAACGTAAAGCAGCACCCTTAAAAAGCCACCTCCAGAAACAACAGCACATTGACCGTGCTTTGAATACTCTTACCATCCAATCCCCTCACATAGCAATAGAAGGATCTAATGCCACCATTTCTTCTCAGACAAAGATATGAGCTGCAATCGAAATTGAAGAAATATGTTAGGTTCTTCCTTCTAGTTTTAGATAACCACAAGCATCTTTCTACTACTACCAGGCAAACCTTGTGATCCCTTTGTAAAGCTTAAACAAGTGCATTTGCAATATTATGTAAAGTGAAAAACTCAAGTCTATTATAATAGAGAATCGATGACTACTTTTTTTATGAAGATTAGTATATCTGGAGTTCAATCTTTGCCCAAAAGTAATAAGGATGGGATTGCCAAAATCATAGAATCAACCCAAACCACTGTTAGCAGTTAATCAATGCTTGCAATTTAAAGCAAAATGGTGGAAAGAGGATATTCAAGGTAAACAAGAATAATACTGAAAAGCAAGGACAATAGAACATTATATGAAGTGAAAATTTCAAGTCAGTATATTCATGATCCTAGATTTTATTTTTTTTATTTTTTTATTTTTTTATTTTTTTTACGAAAAATATCAGAATATCTAGTACTCCATTTGAAAAACAAATAAAAAACTACTCCCCATTAAACCCCGACTAGCAAAAGTAGGGATGAAGGCAATCCTTATACGCAGTCTTACTTTTGCATATTTACAAAGAAACTATTTCCCGGATTCAAACTCGTGACCTTTCAATTACAAAGATACAACTTTACCACTGTTCCAGACTTGCCCTGGTCCATTTGAAATACAAATAGTTAAAAAAAAATAAAAAAGGAAAGGATTGCCAAAGCATTGCTAGCAGTCAATCAATGCTTACACTTTAAAGCAAAACTCAGGAAAGAGGATATCTAATTAAGATTAAGAGAAGTCAAGATCCAATCAGTAAAACTCAGCTTGCATTTGACAAAGTACAACTTTGTGCCAGGAGACAAACAAAACTACACTAAGTTAATGGCGATTGAAGTCTGTTAGGAAGTATTATTTGGTATGGGTCAAATTTCAAGGCAAAAACCATTAGGTAGGCTGTTTTCAACTATATGGTAATTGCTTGGGCACTAGTGTAAGTGTACCATATATACCCGACGGGTAAGGTATGCTACACACTGTCAACAGTTATCTATTCAAGGGTAAAAAACACTAGGGGAATCTATAAAGGGCTTACTTGAAATAGACAGACAAGACATGAATAGAGTGCATAACTCATTAAGTAGCATATTAAGAAACAAATGCAATTAGAGGATACCTCAACTTAAGAATTAATAATCCAAGTTCAAAGAATTATATTTCCATAAAGAGGAAATGTTTTTCGCAATAGCCAGAAACATAGTTGTCAATCTCAAATAGCAATGCAGAGGTCTACCAAACAAAAACAAATAGCAATGCAGATCGACTGACCCCAAAATTGCTATAAAGGAATAATGCATGACGGCTGCGATGGAGATTATGGATCTAAGTTTAATAATTTATACCATACACATATCAACATCAACATCAACAACACCTTTATCCGAAATTAATTGGAGTCGGTGGTAGAAGAACCCAAATAAAAGATACAAAAAGGTTGAAAAAAAATAAATAAATAAATAGAATAGTAAAAAATAAAATAATATATATATATATATAAAAGTAAAAAAGAAAGGGAAAAGAAGAAGAGGGGGAAATGAAGGGGAAAAGGACTAAAAAGGGACCATATGGAACATAGGAATAACAACGGGTCTAACCCTCCACCATGCTTATAGCTCTTCTCCATTCCGTTCTAAGGCATACCGTCCGCCAATCTATATCTCACTCCATTAAATCTTGTTTTACTACCTTCCCCCAAGTAAGTTTCGGTCTACCTCTACCTTTTTTTGTGTTGAGCTCTTGATAACAAACTTCTGTTCTTACGGGAGCATCCAGGGGCCTTCTCATTACGTGCCCAAACCACCTCAATCTATGTTCTCTCATCTTCTCAGCCATCGGTAGTACTCCTACCTTTCATCGAATATCTTCATTTCTTATCTTATCCATCCTTGTATAACCACACATCCACCTTAACATCCTCATCTCTGCTAATCTCATTTTATGCTCATGTTGCCTATGCGCTGGCCAACATTCAGCTCCATATAGCATTGCAGGTCTTACTGCTGTTCTAACTTAAGGGAGATTTCGCGGTCACACAAAAACCCAGATGCACTACGTCATTTCATCCACCCTGCTCTAATTCTATGATTTACATCCTCATCAATCTCTCCACCTTTTTGCAAAATGGATCCCAGGTATCTAAAAGCATCTTTCTTGGGTACCTCTTGACCACTTAGATGCACGGGATCTTGGTCTACATCTCTTACCAGAGAAAACTCACACTTCAGATACTCAGTCTTGCTCCGACTTAATGTGAATCCTTTAGATTCCAACGTGTTTCTCCACAATTCAAGTTTTCTATGAACATCGTCTTTGTTCTCATCAATAAGCACAATATCATATGCAAAAAGCATACACCATGGCACTTCCTCTTGAATATCTTTTGTTAGTTCATCCATAACTAAGGCAAAGAGATAAGGACTTAGAGCCGACCCTTGGTGTACACTTACCGTGATAGAAAAATAACTTGATGTTCCGTTACAAGCTTTTACACATGTAGTAGCCCCATCATACATATCCTTGATTGTCATTACATACTTTGATGGTACCTTTTTCTTCTCCAGAACCCACCATAAAACTTTCCTTGAAACCCTATCGTATGCTTTCTCAAGATCTATGAACACCATATGTAAGTCCTTCTTCTTTTCTTGATATCTTTCCCTTAATTGTCGCATCAAGAAAATGGCTTCCATGGTACATCTTCCTGGCATAAATCCAAATTAATTTACAGAAACTTTGGTATCTCTCCTCAAGCGATGTTCAATAATCCTCTCTCACAACTTCATAGTATGGCTTATTAGCTTAATGCCTCTATAGTTAGAACAATTCTGTATAATGCTCCAAAAAATAAAATTTACCCAAAATTATAAATATATTCATCATTAAAAGTCATAGTCTAGACTCCGGACACAATCTACAGCATAATCAACAAGTTCATAACAACAAAAGTCAAGGAGCACAAGGGGTAAAAAAGTCATCATCAAATCCTAAATAAGTTTAAGCATCTAAGGCTTAAAATAATTAAATGTTCAAAATCAATACAGTTTTTCCTTAATCAGAATCATTGTGTCCAAGATGATGGAATGGCTGCGAAGATAAATGAAAACAGAGGAATGAAGTTCAAAAAAATAACAAAGATGGTGCAATGGAATTAATAGAGCAATAAGAGGAATGAAATGATGAGGTAAAAAATAATTGGCTGTGAAGTGCGAAGTACACAATACAGCAAAAATGGGGGGAAAGAGAGAGAGAGAGAACAAAGGAGAGCTCGATGAGCACAGACCCGCGAAAAGAGAGAACGGAGGAGGGAATTGCTTCCAAGAGCACAGTATGTCAGTGGGTTGCCAGAAAATGGCCAGGCATGGCCGGAAAAAAATGCTGAGGTCAAAAGGGTTTGATTGGATGGTTTCTGAAGCTCAAACTAAAGGAGGAGGCAAATGATTTTGGTCAAAGGAGAAGGTTTCCAACCCTAAGACTTCTGACCACAAAAAAAATAACGAAAATCTCTTAAAAAAATGGGTAGGACACAACAGGAAAGGGGGTAAAGTAGGGTTTTTACATATGATCAGAGTAGCGGCCACAACAGTGTGATAGCAGCCGTGATTGCTGCTACAAGAAAAAGTGATAAGATGAGAAGAGGATCACGGGGAGGCAGCATGCTGTACTGTGATGGCGCGATAGCTGCAAAATACCATTATTAACTACGCTGAACGGAACCTTGAAGTCAAGAAAGAATCCTTGGATGAAATCTGTCTACACCTTGGTTCAAGTCATTCAATCATCATAACATTTAAAATCTTCCTATGGATACAACAATAATTCACAGTTCTTCATAAGAAGACTGTTTGCCTATGCATTGGAATGCCACTTAACCGTGAAAAATGAGATGAGGGGAAAGTGAAACAGAGAATGGGAAGGACTCGGCAAATAGTTGGACCTTCAATAGCAGTTCAAAAAGGACTTGATTTAGTTATCATCATCAACTCATGAGTTTTCTTCACCATAGGAGTTAGATAAGAGTCTTATAAAAATCTCTTCCATCTAAATGCAAAAATAATCAAAATTAAGAGATGTTTTATGTCTGGTGCAGCTCAAAAACTAGAGATACTTCCAAAAGTGATATTTTTCTCATCATGCAATGATAAAACACAACTATAAATTATTACAGAGTTCATTTTTCTTGAAATGTCAATTGGTATTGACTATCTCTAAAAATATTAATGTTAGTCCTTCCAGAAGTTTCAGTAGTTTACATTATAATTATGTGCATGCAAAATTTCTTACATAGATAATGAGGAATGATAACGATGATTTGGTCACATGTCTGCAAAATCAATGTTAATATCCCTGTACTAAATATAATTGAGAAGAATGACTATTAATCTCATAATGGAATTTATTATTGTCCATCTGCCAGTGCAAAACATATCAATAAAAAACCCTCCCTACACTTTTCCTCACAGCTATATATTATACAATCAGTTAAAGCAAGCTCAACAGGAAAAGAACCAAATTCATACAACTATAGCCCCTTCATATCCAGCTTAAAGGCATGTAGAGGCTTTACAAACTTTACAAATAACGTTTACGGAATTTATTTGCAAGACACAAGGTGGTCGTGTCCTATATAACAGCACCAACAGCCAACTAGGATCTACTAAACTTTTTTTTTTTTTTTTGCACAAAGAGATTTAACTATCGGTTATCTATTTTGGAAGCTACAATAATTATTCTTCTTTCATATTTTTCCCTCTTGAATTATAAAATCTCAAGCACAAGCTTCATAAAAGGACATGCACTGATTCCCAACTTCTTTCTTTTGTACTTTGACAGGGCTAGTAATGCTGGATTTATAAATGTAAATGCTAACTCTCTGACATATACACCATAAGTCACGTAGTCCTTTCTCCTGAATTTATGTAAAAGCTAACTCTTAGCATTTCTAATAAAATCCTAAAGGCTCACAAAATTATGATTTATAGATACTATTAGTCAGTTTCTAACTAGGTATGCCAAAACTTAACCAAAGATCAGTCAATGTAATCAGTTGCCCTTGTCACCAACTGACAACATAACTTCTACATGGCTACGACCATCTTTAAAGTAGAGTAATAGTTTATTTAATACTGATACAAACCACATAATTTGCACATTCATGGATAGGTAAATAGAAACATGCATACGCAAAACAGTGAAAGAGGGAAACAAGCATTCACATATATATCACCAACCTGCCGAGCAACCTGTGCTAGTCGTCGGCTGTCCCGAGATGATTCAGTCATTGTGCAAGACTTCTGAGGCTCTACGTGACCATTTTGCTTCTCTCCACACTTTTTCTCTGAACTGATATTATCTAGAGAGCAATCTACATCATCCCTGCTAATAGACTCCCTCTTACGCTTTCTCCGGAATGTGTACTTGAGAAACTTATCGTTTACAGATCGACAAGAAACCTTCTCATCTAAATCAGATACTTTAGGACCCATTTTATCCGGTGATCCAATAGCTGCCTCAACATCTTTACAAGCTGGAACCTCCAAACTTTCAGTGGACAAACTCTCTTGTCTTGTCAAATCTGATTTATCCAATAGTTCCTTATCATCTTTAATTTTGTTCTGAATACTGCAAGCTTTAAGAAATACTTCCTCTTTTTCAGTATTGCTATGAGGCCCTGATTGCTCAATCACTGCAGTTGCGTCTGTGGGTACTTTAGCAAAAGGAGACATTAGATCCTTCTGAGCTTCATTTTCATATGCCATCGAGGAACTCACCCTTGAGGGGTCATTGTTATCCGATACACATGGAGAATCTTTGACCAAAGACAGATATGATTCTTTATTTGTTTCCTTAACATGGTCAGAATGTAATTTGGATCGAAGAGCCTTCCTTGTCCTAAATCTTCTCTTTTTTCTATGAGCTGGAACTTTGACAAGATCAGCATCTGCTTTCACCACTTTAAGCTCATCAGTTTTCTCCTTTTCACAAATAATATCAGCTTCGGCATTAGTTATTACAGTCATCGCTTTATCTTCTTCAGGTACTCTTGCTAAAGTTTCATCCTGTACATTATCTAAATTTCCTGAAACAGACGTATTTCCATAAAAAAGGCTCCTTTCACATGCATGTATTCTCTGAGTGCATCCATTTCTGTAGAGCTTAGGCTCTTTTCTCCTAATGACTATGGATGCAAAATCTGGATTATGAATGTAGCAGTTGTTTGTATGATCATGTGGCACAGAGACCGTACTGTTATCATTTGTTCCATTTACAGTTGGATTCCCAGTGTCAGAAATTGAGGCTGATTCAAACTGTAAATTGGGTGCAGAATATACAGATCCATCATAAGGATCAAGTCTGCTCTCCTGCAGAAAATTTTCCTGAGCAGCAATTTCACCCTCCATGTTTTGTTCAACTGGCGGATGCATCTGGTGTTTTGTCACATTCTCCAGCTCAGCATGTGCTTCTTTCAACTCTGCCCTTAGATCTCTAACTATTTCCTCAGCTTCCTGGAGCTGAGCTTCAAGCTCCTCAATCTTCTTCTGCTGATTTAATGATGTCAACTCTGCTTCGTTAACCTGCAAAATTGCCATTCATCAGACAAAACCGGAGATAAGAGACAAGACCTTAGAAATGATTTAACTTGGAGGACTCCACTCCTTGGTTTCAGTTTTAGAGGCTGCTTGAGTGGCATAATAAATTACAGTAATGTCAGTGTTGAGATATATAAAACTATTAATATAGCTTCACCCAACAGCTTAAGCTTTTGGGTTGAATTGGTTCTTTACATGGTATCAGAGCCTCGGTATACCGGGTTCGATCCTCACCACCCCCCACTTTCTTTCTAGTGGAATTTCTTTCTTCGCACAGGTAGGTGGACCTATGCATCGTCCATCCTTCAAGCCCAATGGGCTCTCGTGTGAGGGGGCGTATTGAGATATATAAAACCATTAATATAGCCTCACCTAACAGCTTTAAACTTTTGGGTTGAATTGGTTCTTTACAGTTAGTATGTGCTATAATGGTAGTAAGCTCTCAATGTTAAAATGTAATTGCATTTGGAATGAGACAGTTAAATTTGGGCTCAAAACTGAAACAATAATACAAGATATATTTCTTTATATGGTTCCCCAACTTCAGAACAAGCCTAGCATACACAAACATACAAATATGAAAAGTATCCAACTATTATATCATGCCTACATTCATGATCAAGTCAGCTTCATCAACAAACAAGATTTAAGTGTAAATTGATAGAGAGTTAGGCAATTGCAAAAGTGCTAGTTGATCCCTCTGACACTGAGTCATAAATATATCATATTCTTTCTCAAATGTATATTAATTGCATTCCTTTAATGACCACCACAAATGTTACATAAAAAATATAGTCAATCCTCATTATTCTAGTAAGAATTTTGTTGGCCATAACCCTGCATTTCAAAGATAAAAATAAAGCAAGTGTTAATGATAGAAAAATTAAAAGACAAGGACAATGTGATGGTTCCAGAGAACTCTTTGACCATGGATGTTTAAGATGCCTAGCATTGATGATATTAACGGAAGAACAAGTTAAACTTCAAAAAATACTGTCATTCAAGCATAACCATTACAAAGGCAACCCACATTTCAAGTGATTGCAAGGTACTTCAACAACTCAACAATGAAAAAATCAATCTTCAATATCTAAATATATCTTTCTCCCATCCATTACAAGGGTGCATACTACCACTCGAATTTGATCGGGATTTTTATCATGGAACTCTATAAAAAAGATGCAAGCAATTAGTAAAGAATCCAGGCCAAAACTAACCCAGTGAAATTGGAAGCTCGAAACTTTCTTAATCGAGTAAGAAAACACACACGAAACCAACGCCACAAAACAGACGTAGGGTAATCCCCCGGCCAAGTCTTGGAATCAAACACACAACGCTTAAACAGATAGAAGAAGAAGCAGAAAAGACAAAAGAAAATAACTTGTAAAGAAACGAAAAGCAACCCCTTTCGAGAAAGATTGTGAGACCTTAGAATCCAACATTTGTTTGAGCCTAAGAAGCATCCGAAGCGCCTCTTCTTTACTGGAAACAAGTTCCTGCTGAAAGCGCATGGCTTTTCTCTCCGACACCATGATACGCGCCGCCGCCTCCTTCGCCGTGTTAAGGATGATATCGGCGTAGGCCTTCTTCAAGGCGGTCAATTTCTGATCAAATCAAAAACCCAAAACACTAAACCCATCAAGAATCACAAAATAAACCATCCCCATTCAATCTTTTCCCAGAAACCCAATAAAAAAAACTAATTTTCCTCGTACAAACAAAACAAAACAGAACAAAAAATGAAAAAAGCAAAGCCGCCCTTTACGGCGGAAGAAGAAGCGAAACAACAGAATGGTTTACCTCAGAATCCTCCATTGTTGTCTAAAACATCAGAACCAAGAATGTTGGAAAGTGACACTTCCGTTGAGAGCAAACAACAACAGAAACAAGTGAAGCGGAATGATGGGATGGGAGTTTGGGAGTTTCTTTCTTTCTTTTCTTTCTGTTTGTTCGTCTCCTCTTCATAAGAGGAGCTGTGTCTGTTAGGGAGTGAAAGTCCTTAACGTATAATTACCAGATTGCCCTCCGCATAATTACATTTACCACGTCGCAATCGAAAACCGTAACCCCGGCCCGGTTCCAATGACTCCTCTCTCTCAGTTTCATTTTATGTTTCCACAGTTAACCCCCGTGGACCCTGGTCCTGGTCCTCCAGCTCTATCATATATGCTGATGTGGATCGATCAATGCAAGTGCAAGTCTCCTTAAACGCACACATTTAGTTTTATCGGACATATTTTATATGTTAGGTATTCTAACAACTTTTATATGTATATAAAACAAAGTACATAGCTTACCAAAGGTGCTACGTGTCATGTTTATACCAAAAAACAATTTCCTAGAATTCACATTCCTCCCTTCGTAAGAGATATACACTTAGTCTAAACAAAATATTATTGTATTACACCATTTTAACTGTTTCTTCAAGATATAAAAATACAAAAATAGTGGCTCGCTACAGATTTGTTGTGTTTTTTAGTGTTTTAGTATAGAAGAAGTCTTGCACACCGTTTTTTATATATAGGAAGAACAAAGGTATAAATATACCACATGTTTCACTGAGGGGTAGTCTTTGGACTGTACTCTGAGAACAAGGTGATTGGAAAAAATTAAATAAAAATACCCTCCAGATTATAAAAAAAAATAGACTTGACTTGTATCATGTATATAATATTCGAATTTGAATTAGATTTAAACAGGCAGATTGAACCTGTTCTAAAAATTAGCTGGTTTAATATTTACGTAGCTTATAGAATATGAGGTTCAAGTGAAAATTTATTCTTTTTATATGAAATTTCATATTTAAGCACAATTCATGTCATTTTATAAAATAGTCATGTATTGCACTTTTATTTCTCTTCATTGTTAATTTCTTTTAAGCATTTTAAACCGATTAATAAGAGAAATTATACAAATTGTTATATTAGTATTTTTTTCTATAAAAATATATTAAAAGCAAGACATTCAATTAAAAAGAAAATAAATTAATGTTCATCCTGTAATAAGAAATAAAATTAACTACTATAATCCAAAATGATGTAATTTTGGTGGTTGAAAAAAAATTACAAAATATTTTAATAAAACTCATGATATAAGATAAAGGTAAAATTTCTAAAATACCTGCACTTTTTTTGCACAATCTAAAAATGTCATTTTTTTGGGTTTGAAAATAAATGCTAAGATATTTTAATAAAATTTACTATATAAGAAGAAAGTAAAATTTACAAAATATTTATACTTTTTCCACCACCTCAATGAGAAACATTTTTTCAAAAAATAAATAATAAAAGGTAAGTTTTGTAAAAATAAAATCTTTTTATTTTTTAAAACCCATAAAAACTTTTTTCTTTATTTTTTTAAAATTATTTTTCTTCTCCTTTAACAAAAATGACGAACTCATGATTAAAAAAAAAAACGAACTCACGAATCTTGCTTTATGTTCCTAACTTCTATCAGCCATGCTGCTAACCTAAAACTGCATATATTAGTTTCTGGGTGGAATGGTGCCTTGAAAGCGTAATTGGACAGTTAGGCAGTGGTGTTTGTGGGCCTACTGGAGGGTTGCGGACAGAGGAGTCTCAATTTCCCTCTGTTTGAAAACGGTTTTCCCTTTCCCACCTAAGAAAACACCGGGTCGATTGTCTCAATCCAATCCTATGTTTACAACTTCCATATTTATGCAACGCTTATATTAGATAAAATAGTTGTTGAAAAGAGTGTTTATCTTTTTAAATGATATAACTTATGTTTATTCAATTCCAGAAAGATATGAGATTCACACTTTTATTTATTTTTTTGTTCACTCTCTCCTCCGTGATTTATCTTTTTCTCTAACTTAGAATAATATGACTTTATATCCTTTAAAATGACACACATTTTTTCTATAGTTGTTTTATGTTGCACACTTATATAATTTTGTACTCATTTTTTCTTTTTCTTTTTTTAAAAACTATAGACCTCGTAACTTTGTTTTACTCACATAAAATAAGTATTTTATGTGACTTAAGATTAAAAACCCCCAACGTATATATAACTAAATTGGAAGCAACACAAATACGGTAACACGTTGTACATTATAATTTCATTTTATAAATCACATGGACGGTCATAAACTAGAGACATTGATCGTACTGCCCTTTTTTAATATAATATACTCGAATGTCATGGAGTTGAATTTTTTTTTTTCAAACTGCCACGATACCGTAGTCGCTGGGGTAGTCAGCTACTATGGATGGGACACGTGTCACTTTCCCAGCGGCTGAAAACCAAAGTAGTTGACTAACTCAGCGACTTTGGGTTGCGTGTCCAGCCGCTTGGGAAGTGACACATGTCCCTTCTATAGTAGCTGACTACCCAGTGACTATGGTGTTGTGGCAGTTTGAAAAAAAAATCGATTCCGTGACATTTAGGTATATTATATTCAAAAAGGAACATTACGGTCAATGTCCTCATAAATTGCTATATTTGTCCATATAATTTGTTATGCATTCACACCAACTACTAAAGATTATTTTTTTTTTGTTGAATATATAAATAAAGGGATGTGATGCTTTGATATTAGTGTTAAATTTTTTAGTTTAACATTAAGTCTTAATCGTTAATTTTTGTTAATCTAACAGTTTTTATTTATTGAGAATTAATAATTAATTAATAAGTATGACCCAATAAACTATAATAATTAAATTCATAAAATCAACATTTAAAATTTGATATTAATTTTTTTAATTTAACATTTCTATTAAAGGATCCTACCCCAAAAGTTAGCAGCCATAATTCTGTAATATACTAGTTTTGTTATAAAAATCTAAAACTCCTTAAACTGCATTGGAAATTGATGAAAACATTATTAGAGAATTTCAAGTAATTATAAAGCCTCAATAATGACAAAAGTCAGATGACATAATTGTAATGGTTGGTGAAAAACAAATATTTTAGAAAAAAACAAATTAATGTTTCTACGGTGAATGTATATAAATTATCTATATTCGCTCTTAAAACGATATCGATTTGGGTTGAAAAATTAAAAAATTATAATAAAAAAGACTAATATAACCCTGAAATAAATTATAATTACAAAAATACTTAAATTTCCGACCCAAAACGACGTCGTTTTGGGTTCAATGTAGATAAATTATCTATATTGACTTTAGAAAAAACGAACCCAAAAAAAATTACATTTGACGTTTATTCTTTTAAAGGATATATAGTTGTGTTATTTTAAGGGAGAAAAAAAATACAAACAATAAAAATCATGGAAGAGAAAGTAAATTTTTTTAATGTAAATTTTAAATAAAAAATATTTTTTTTTATAAATAAATAAAAAATATTAGTTTGTGTCTTTTTCTCACTTAAAATAACACAATTATATATCCTTTAAAACAACAAACATTTTTCTTTTTTTCTTTTATCGAAACCACATATTTGTAACTTTGATTAATCAACAAATCAGACATACAAAGTTCACGACATCTAAATTGCACATCGTTAGTTAATTTTTTATATAAAAGTTGATGGTTAACTCAGCCCTTAAAATTAATTGCAAGTGAATGTAAAAATTTTAGATTCCACTTTTATTTCCCCTTCTCCATGTGAAAAATGATTTTGAGTTTGACATTTTTTTTTTAAGTTAACAGTTCTTTTTAAATTAAAGTTAAAAATGAAAATAAAAATAAAATTAAAAGTTATTTAGTAATTATATAAACCTGTTCTGATAATTTTGAATGAAAGAACATGAAATAATTTATTATTGGAACAAATTATTAGAATAAAGAATAAAATTGGTAAATATAAATTTAGAATAAGGATGAAATTGAAAAGTTAATATGAGAACTCTAAAAAGTTAATATATATAGAGTTTTTAACTTTTGTTTATTTTATTCATTATAACAAGAAGCTCTTTTTATAATAAGAGTTTTTGTAAGAATATATTTGGTTACAAGATGAAAAGAAGCTAAAGGCACTTAATCGATGTAAAGAATGTGTCCGCTCAACCTTTATAAATTATGGGTTTAACTTTTCTTATGTTGTAGGATTGTAGGAGAGAAAATAAGTAAAGAGAAGTTAAATGTGGGTCTCATATTTTATATTAAAAAAGAAAAGAAAAACTATTTGGCACGAAAAACGAATTTGTGTAGGAAAATGAGAGTATCTTATGTGACATGAGAATATTATTTCCCATAAATTATTTAGCTCTCATGAAACATGGATTATGCATGAGATAAACTTTACTCAATTTGACAATATTTAACAAAAAAGACATCTGCATATAAAAGCTACTAAGATCGAACTTTAGGGTGACCATGGTTCCACTGGAATCAATTTTTTTCCAAACCGAACTAGTTTAAATTAGTTTAGTTCAAAAAATTAAATTGTATTATTTAATCTGAAAAAACTTTATTTTTTTCAAACTGATTCATATTTCAAAATTAGTTCATGATTTATAATCAATTCAAAACCAATTCAACTGGGCAAATTGATTTTGAATCGATTGTAAACGGATCCTAAATTGTTTTTTCAAACCGATTCTTTTTATTCAATTTAATCTTTAAACTGGTTTATAAAATAAATTCAGTTCAATTAGGTTCACTTGAATTCGATTATTTTACATAGCCCTATCAGTCTATGACCACCTTAGAAGAAAGGTCTTCTTGAAAATAATGGCTATCGCAGCCTCTAATTGATAGATCGGGTTTAAAGAAGTTAACCTGAAATGTCAATTTGAAAAGGGTAAAATATTATTTTGTAGTTTTTGACAATAGAAAGTTAGGAGGTTTGATTACGTTGCTCGTCATCTCACACATGGATAAAAATAGGGTGTGTTTGGTACAAGTTTTATTTTGGATTTGATGGGAAAGTGTGGGTGGGTATTGGTGTTATCACGTTTGGTACAAGCTATTGAAAATAAAATACTAGGCACCTTGGATGGATAGGAAACTGGTTTATGTTGATTTTTTGCACAATAATATTGTTCCAAAATACACCCTGAGGCGTGGTATTTTGAATATGGATAGGGAAGTCAAAAAATGGTGCAATGAAAAATGTTTCACAATAACACTCTTGCAAATTTTTCCGATCATATTTCGGTCAACCAAACATCTTTTTTAAAACTTTTCTATCAAACTTACTTTCTTACCATTTCTCTTGTAATTCTATTTTCCTGGTAAAAAAAATTTCTCCTCTACCAAACGCCCCCTGAAGGAAAAAGGAATCACAGATAAGTAAAGTCCATGGATTCCACGGAATATCTACATGCATTTTTATTTATTTACATATATTTTCCTTAATTTTTTTTTATAAAATCAAACAAAAGAAGAAAGGTGTTCAATCCTAGCAATCAGGTATGTCCACTCGAAGGGTGGTGAGTCAATACAGAATATCTATACTTACAAGTATCTATGAGAGAGATACCATAGGGGATAACGCTTTAGTGTGCGCTAAGGGAAAATAGCATAGCAAGAGCGTGGTGTGTGTGCATAACGATGACTACAATAGAATAGGCCAAAAAGTGTGTACCCGATGGCTTTAACCCTTATTTATGATGGGTTGCTTGGTTGGGACATGATCCTAATTGTGATAGGATTGTTATGAAGTCTTATCTTGTTGATATGATAAGATTCTTATATCTCTTATCCATCGTTTGTTACGTTGTTAATCTGTTGTGCATTGTTGAGATATGGGCCTATCAACTAGGTCCATAACAGTTTCCCTCAACTCTGCAGTTCGAGCATTCGGGCTACTGAGTTGTACTGACTTTTAGCTAATCTAGACTGGGCTAGGCTCACTTCAATGCTCAAGGTTTATTTCTCAATTCATCTTGGGACAGTTTCCGTAAGTGGAAAGGCCGAACTATTGTTCATCATTTCCATAGGCTGGCCTGGATATTCTGAGCTGAGTTTTGAGGCCGACCTCATTGAACTGAGTTTTCCAATAAGTTGGCCACGTTGTGTTACATGCCTGCCTTATACTCTGCTGAGCTCTGTATAATCTGTGTGGCTCAGCTCTGAGGTTCATCTCTTTCATGTTGTCACCTCAGATTGATCCTTTGTCTTCTGCTAGCTATCTTTATGTTACACCCTTCCATGTGGCACGTTTCCCATTGGCGATTCGTGCCTCGAGAAGCAAATGTCGTCTCTGCATTTCGTGTGTAATGATGGGTTATCCAGGCTTACATGTCACAGCTTTTCACATCGTGTGAATTCTTGACTTTGCCCTCAAACCTTTCATATTCGCGCCTAAAAGTGGTTTTGGCTTGTTTCTTGCTCATTTTTATGTCTCCTAATTTTAGGAACTGGTAGGTTGGTTTCCTTTCTCCGTTTTTCATCTTCTTGGCGACTCCCTCACTACCTCTGTGTTTTTATTATCGAGTCTTCTTGGATTTGAAGGGATCATGTCCGTATATAAGTTTATTAGATTTTTTTTTCCTTTTAGAGGCATTATCGAATAAAAAATAGGTAAACACCAAACACTCATTTTCCTTTTATGTAGTTTTCACTTGCTTGTTTGCAGTCTGTTTGGTTGTCTTAGGCAATCTAAGGTTGTGTTTAGAGACTTAGGAATCTAGGTTTCCAGTAGCCCCTTCTTCATTTAAGGACTCTTTGTTAGTGAGGTTTCTTGGTGGAGATGAGCAGGGGAAAAGGTACCTCTAATAAGTATAGTCGTTGCGATGACGACCGAAATGTTATTGAGGGGGATGCCCTTATCTATAGCTTGCCCCCAGGTGCGAAGTTTTGGTTGTTTGGTATTAACCGCAATGAGGAAGATAAACAACAACTCTTTTTCGAGCTTATTGCACCATGGGTGGTAAGAAAAGGTTCATATTGCCCTAACGTGGAAGGGGTCATGCTGAGTTCTCGAACTGAGGGAGGGTTCTGGATGACCCAACATGGATGAGATGAATCTACGGGTTGTGTTAAAGTCACATCTTCATCCATCAACCGAGCTTACTGATCACCTCATCCTTTTGCAGTGAAGATAGAAGGAGTGGCCCTCGTCATGACTGCGTGACCCTGGTTGTCGCCCTATCTACCTTTGGTTATGAAACTTGTGCAAAACTGCCATTAATGTGAGCTTTGCTAGTGGCGAAATTGAGTAGGAAAATCCTAGCAAAGTCGTCAAAGGAATCAATCGAATTTTTCAAGAGCCTGGTGAACCGAGTCATGGTCGGCCCTGTGAGGGTGGAAGCAAAGATTCGGGCAATGATTGGTTCTTCTACACCTTTCACATACATCTCGGTGTTGAACGCCTCAAGGTAAGCTTCTGGATCTTGACTCCCGTCATACTTCGGCACGTCTATCCCGGAGAGAAAGTAGCATTGATCACCTTATCGGTGAATGGGCTATTGTTATTACTGCCTCTATAAAATCATTACAGGAAATATCCGTTCTAACTCGGTCCTTCGTTTCTCACATGTCCATCAGCCTGTATGTTTTCATTAGCTCAACTGTTGTTCTCCATCAATTATGGGTCTCCTTATGGCCTTCATCTCAACTTTGATTCTCGACTCGCCTATGCTCTTCATGTCTGTGATGCCTTGAATCAGGGCTGCTTCTGTGCTTGCGATTGTTGTTGTTTTGATCAATCATCCTATTTTCCAGCGTGTCCATTCTTTGAGCGTCTAATTGTTGTTAAGCTAGAAACCTATTCTCCATCTCCTCTATTCTTCGTAGGATAGCGTGAAGAGTGGTTTGGGCTATTCGATTATCCTCGCAGGTTTGAGCCTTGGTTTGGGTGCAATGAGGTTGGGTCTCAAGCTGGTTAGCTGGGTTCTGAGCAGAGGCTGAGTTTGATCAGGCATTGCTCATGTGCACGACCTCCATCCCCTGGAATTGGCCATTTTAAGGCTTATTCTGAGCATGAGGCAGTCGATGCGGTTGTAGTGGTGGGAGGCTATTCACATCACTATGTGTGTTCACCATTGTGGAATGGGAATCAAATTTTATTGTTTCTCACGTATGGCACCAATATTCGATCCCAGCGGATTAGGTATGTTCACCCGAAAAATGGTGAGCCAATATAGGATCTATATACTTGCAGGTATCTATGAGAGAAATACCGGAAAGGATAACAAATCACTATGCACTAAGGGAAAATAACATAGCCAGAGCGGAGTGTGTGTGCACAATAATAGCTAGAATATAATAGGCTAGAAAAGTGTATATCTAATGGTTTTAATCCCTATTTATAATGGGTTACTTTGTTGAGTCATGACCATAGTTGTTCTTGGATTGTTATGAAGTTTTATCTTGTTATGATAAGTTTCTCATCGCTCTTATCCATAATTTGTTTTATTGTTTATCTGTTGTTCATTATTGAGATATGAGCCTATTAGCTAGGTCCATGACAAAAGGCATCTACAAAACACAAAGAAAAAATAATACAATATTAGTATGATATGATACTACATTTGATTAAAAAAACATGACATATAAATTTCTAATTTAATGTTTTATATTGTGATTAAAAATTAAATGCATACAAAAAACAACTTATTTTGTATGAAAAATAGTTTATTATTTAATTTTGTTGAGACACCTTTAAAAAACATGCGATAAAACTATGCATTTTGACTTTAACTTAACATAGGTATTGGGTTTGTTTTAACTTTTCTTCCTTTAGTCCAACTGCTGTTAGCTTTTAACAACCATAACTCGAAAGAGGCAGGAAAACTTAGTATGACACTAGTGTAAGAATTGACTCGTAAACTATATAAAATTTAGAACACTAATAAATAAAGGTAAAATCTGTGTTTGTTATAAATGGATGAACAAGGAAATATCAAAAGTATTAGATATTGGAGATTGCGCTAAGTAAGGTCTTCTCCCGCTACTTCTCAAATTCAGATAAGCAATATCAATTGGGCAAATTCAGTATTAGAAAGTCTAAAATGTGTATTTAATCTAATAAGACATACTTAGATATTTATATTGAAGCAGTGGTGGAGGACGTAGTCGCAAATATAATTATTTACATAATAACTCTCATTACGAGTTATTAAATAAGGGTTTTATTAGTATCATGTTACATAACCTAAGAAAATTTCCTACACACACAATTAAAAGGTGGGGTCTACATGTTTTTTTTTTCTCTTTCATCATTTCACTTTCTCTCTCTTTTTTATTGTGAGGGTAGGAAAATTTTCTTATATCATGTTATATTATTCTTATAAAACCCATTAAATAATGACTTACATTTTGTCTATAACCACATTTTATTAATAAAAAAAAAACTTGAGGCGCACATTCTAAATAAACAATTTGATCACATTCAAACATGGATAAGTTATGCTTGTCTCTTAATGGAAAATGTGAATCATATACTTTTTCATAATGGCAATATCTGTGTAGAGATGAAAAACGCAGAGGGCTTGATATTTCTTTCTCCCGCTTGAAACTTGTTTGAAAATCCGTTACCGCCAATTGCTCCAGATGACCAGACCCGGTTGAAAACGGATCATATTTCAATATTTGGTATTATTGCCGAAGCCCGTTATTCACCGGGGCTCCACCGCTGAAATGAATTCGGGCTTGATCGGGTCAAATGACCCGATTACTTCCCCATTTTTTTATTCCTTCCCCTTGCCGTTATCCACAAACAAGGAACACAACACGTGGCCTTTTGTCAAGTTAGTTTAGTAGCTTCCTCTCCGTCATCTTCTTCCACCTTCTCATCCTAACTGAAACCCAAAAAAAAAAAAAAAAAACCGCAGCGAATTACCAATATTTTTTCAATTGATTTACTCTGCATTCAACAAAACATGTCATTGCCTAACCGTTTTCTAAATTTCTGAATGTTCACTTGTTACAGAAAATGACCCTTTCACCCTCTCTCTTCGTGCCCAATCCTTCACCTTTCTCCCCCACGCTCTTCAACCCCAACAACAGCTTCCGGCAACTCTTCTCGAAAACCAAAAACAACTCGAGATTCCGATTCCGTTTCCGTTTCCAATTCCAAGTTCGCGCGAAGACCCGGGAACTCATCCTGGGTAACCCGTCGGTGACCGTAGAGAAAGGAAAGTACAGCTACGATGTAGAAACCCTAATTAACAAGCTGAGCAGCTTGCCTCCACGTGGCAGCATCGCTCGGTGCCTTGACGCGTTGAAGAACAAGCTTTCCCTGAACGACTTCGCGACGGTGTTCAAGGAGTTCGCTTCGCGTGGCGATTGGCAACGGTCGCTGCGTCTGTTCAAGTACATGCAGCGCCAGATATGGTGCAAGCCCAACGAACACATATACACGATTATGATAACTCTTTTGGGAAGGGAAGGGTTGCTTGATAAATGCCGCGAGGTGTTCGACGAAATGCCAAGCCAAGGTGTGGCACGCAGCGTCTTCGCCTACACAGCAATTATCAATGCCTACGGGCGAAACGGTCAGCATCAAACTTCTCTTGAGCTTCTTGAGAGAATGAAGCAGGAGAGGGTTTCTCCGAGTATATTAACTTATAATACTGTGATAAATGCTTGTGCTAGGGGAGGGTTAGATTGGGAGGGTTTGTTGGGGTTGTTTGCTGAAATGAGACATGAAGGGATACAGCCAGATGTTATTACTTATAATACTTTGCTTAGTGCTTGTGCTCATAGGGGATTAGGTGATGAAGCTGAAATGGTGTTTAGAACCATGAATGAAGGTGGGGTTGTTCCTGATATCACCACTTATAGGTATATTGTTCAGACATTTGGTAAGTTGAATAGACTTGAAAAGGTTTCGGAGCTTCTTAGGGAAATGGAGTCTGGGGGTAATTTGCCCGATGTTCCTTCTTATAATGTGCTATTAGAGGCCTATGGTGAGTCAGGGTCCATCAAAGAGGCGATGGGTGTGTTTAGGCAGATGCAGGCTGCGGGGTGTGTGCCGAATGCTGCCACGTATAGCACTCTGTTGAATTTGTATGGGAAGCATGGGAGGTATGATGATGTTCGTGATCTTTTTCTTGAAATGAAAGTGAGCAACACGGACCCTGATGCTGGTACTTACAACATTCTCATACAGGTCTTTGGAGAGGGTGGGTACTTTAAGGAGGTAGTCACTTTGTTTCATGATATGGTCGAGGAGAATATTGAGCCAAACATGGAGACTTATGAGGGTTTGATATTTGCTTGTGGGAAGGGAGGGCTCTATGAAGATGCCAAGAAAATTTTACTTCATATGCATGAAAAGGGAATAGTGCCAAGTTCAAAGGCTTATACTGGGCTAATCGAAGCATATGGGCAGGCTGCACTGTATGAAGAGGCTCTAGTTGCGTTTAACACTATGAATGAAGTGGAAAGCAACCCAACTGTTGAGACCTACAATTCACTCGTTCATGCATTTGCAAGGGGGGGATTGTACAAAGAAGTGGAAGCAATATTATCCAGGATGGGTGAGTCAGGTTTACCGCGGGATGTGCAGTCATTCAATGGTGTGATTGAAGCTTTTAGGCAAGGAGGTCAGTATGAAGAGGCTGTAAAAGCTCATGTTGAGATGGAAAAAGCAAATTGCGATCCTAATGAGCTGACACTTGAAGCAGTCTTAAGCGTATACTGCTCTGCAGGTCTTGTTGACGAGAGTGAGGAGCATTTCCAAGAAATTAAAGCTTCAGGAATAGTGCCCAGTGTCATGTGCTACTGCATGATGCTAGCTCTTTACGCAAAGAATGACAGGTCAGCATTCCTTTTTTTCTTTTTTGTGTATTGCAGTTGCGAATACCAGTCAATGATCTCAAGTATGTTCCATTAATAGGATTGTGAAAATAATTGAATTAAATTTTGGATGAAATAGCCGTTGAGTAATGACACAAGTTACACAAACTCAGGTACATGGTTGACACACAAACATATTCTTCGGCTGACAATTCAGGCTGGCAGGTCATGTTTGAATTGACATGGATTCGATGTAGACACGAGTATCCTCTATACAAACACGACACGAATAACTATTTATGTCAAAGTCCCCGACACAAATACGATCCGTTTACTACACACAGCACAACATATTACTTGTTAATTTTACTTTTTGAATGAAAATTACTTAAATAATGTCAAATGAATAAATAAAAGTATGATAAGTGGGGTAAATATATAATTATATACTTATGGTTGAAACAAACACGAATATCCCAAACACGAACACAACACAATTTTTTTCTAGTCTCTCTTTGGTTGACACAAACATGACACGAATACACATACAGGCTAACACGAACACAAAAAATCCATGTCGTGTTGGAGGTTCGTATTGAAAATTGTCACCCTTAACATATTCTGTAAGTGATGGCATCTAAGATTTTTACTTATTGTGTAATTTGGTTGTGAGATTGGTCAAAAAAGAAAGAAAACTTTGGTGTACGGATTTATTTCGCTCAATTTTCAATTGTACTAAAGCATGACCACTTTTTCTCATTTTTTGAACAAAGGAATATTGCATAAGCTCATGCGACCAAAACCAGATGCAACAAACTAGAACTTACATGATTGGATAATTATAACTTCGCTAAATTACGAGTTTTGGTCTTGAGTTGAAGTTCCATGTGATTCTCTAGTATGGTTTATTTATTCTCCCAATTTATTTAGTTTTTTTTGTCCCCCTTTTTTGGTTGGCAGGTTTTTATTTTTCTATGATTTGCATTTCTTTTCAGTAATTTCTTCCTCCTCCACATCCCCCTTATATTCTGCATTGCAATTAGCTTTTTGATTTGTAGTGTCCAGCAAACTCTGAATGTTTCTGCAGTGATTTGTACATTATTATTCAGCATCTTTACTTTTTTCACTTTTTGGTTGGGATTTGGGAATTAAAATTATCATGCATTGTTCTATTGGTGAGGTGTCAATTGTACGTTGAATTTTTTTCTGCTTTCGATAGACGATTTGATTTACTGATAGGTAATTTTATATTAAATTGTGGCAGCTGGTCCCCAGTAAAGATGGTGTTGAAGAATTTCATTTAAAATTATGATTTGCATTCAAGCTCACAATAGATACATGCTATATCATTATTTTCTAGTGTGCTTGTATTCATTGAACTCTACCTAATGAGTTATGCTGTTCAAGTAATGTGAGTGAGTGTGGAAGAATCTGTTTTGACAACTTAAAATATAAAATCGCCCAAGAGCCTTAGCTCAAGTGGCACCAAGTCCCTTTGAGGACTACACTACTTGGGATTGAATCCTAGCCAAGCCATCTTACTTCACGTTAACCCATTTTAACTTTGACCACCTACTTATGCATTTAACTTCTAATTATGTTTTATTTTTAAGCTTACCTCTCTAACTTCTTGGTTTCAGGTCAAATGATGCCTATAAGCTAATTGATGAGATGATCACAACGAGGGCATCGGATATTCACCAAGTGATCGGGCAAATGATCAAGGGAGACTTTGATGATGAGTCTAATTGGCAGATTGTAGAGTACTTTTTTGACAAACTCAATTCTGAAGGATGTGGATTGGGAATGAGGTTCTACAATGCCCTATTAGAAGCTCTTTGGTGGTTGTGCCAGAGAGAAAGGGCTGCAAGAGTGCTGACTGAAGCATCAAAGCGAGGGCTTTTCCCTGAACTTTTTCGTAAAAATAAACTTGTGTGGTCTGTGGATGTACACAGGTATAGTGGCAATCAATTCTTTCTAAACACGTATGATTCTTTAATAAAGGAAGACATATACAAAACCTGCTCAATGTTGGGCATTGACAATTAGAACCTTCAACTTTCAATTCAGGCAATTTGCTGCTTCAATTTTTGAAAAGTTCTCTATAGCTAATTTACGTTCATGTAGAATGGTTAATTTTTGGAGATTTTAGATCCTAACTAAGGAATCAGTGGATGAATTGACAGTTGAAATTTAAGCATGAGAATGACAATGCAGATGAAATGACTACTAACAAGATGGATAAATATATTTTTCAATTTTCAAGGGGCTTAATTGCTGAAATTGAAAGTTGAGAAGTCTTTTTTTCTTAGCCCCAAAATGAAGGAGTTCTGTGCTTTTTTATCTTTAATTATTTGAAACCTAAAGCTTGATTGTCTTGCAGGATGTGGGAAGGTGGTGCATTAACAGCACTATCAATGTGGCTGAACAATATGCAGGAGATGTTCATGACTGGGGAGGATCTTCCTGAGCTTGCAACAGTTGTTGTGGTGTAAGTCGCTTTTGCCTCTAAAACTAGTGCACCATACACCTGGGTTAAATCATTGATGTTAAAGTAAGGTGTAAAACTACTGCATAATAGGTCTGCATCTGATCCACCTTGATTATAAATATACGGAAAGTGCATTTGTCTGCATTTCTTTTTTATCAGGACAAAAAAAATGGAATTTTCTACTACCTGATATAGATAACTAGATACGGCTTTCTAACGTTATATTTTCCCATTTAACCAGCCGGGGTCGAATGGAGAAAAGCGGAGACACCCAAGATTTTCCTATCGCAAAGGCTGCCTTTTCATTCCTGCAGGATAATATCACATTGTCGTCTTTTACATTCCCTGGATGGAACAAAGGTCGAATTATTTGTCAGCAGTCACAACTAAGGCGAATTCTGTCAGGAACTGAATCATCTTCGAGTAGGGAAAAAATGGATAAATTAATATCTTTGAGTAATACCCCGTTGACTACTGCAGGAGCTATTACATCCAAATCTGATATGCAAAGTGGTAAAGCAAATGATGTTGATTCTAGAACTGATAGTACCAGAACAGAGCTTCTAACAAGTGCAGTTTAGATTAGAGAAGTATTGAAATTTCATTCATCACTTTCCCATGTCCTGTTTTGGTTGATTTGAAAATTAAGACTGGGGCACATATTTGTTCCACTAATATTCCTAAGTGGGCTGGCATTCCGGTCGCCAAAATTTTGGTATAGATATTCTCAAGGTATCTGAAGAAGCCCGGTTGGCTATCGACACCAATATTTACCAGTGTATTTGATTTTCTGATTCTGCATAGGAGACAACAACATAAAAAAAAATAGAAAGGAGGCTATACTTTTAATAATTTCTTATAATTATTTTTGTTATCATTTAAATCAACAGTTATAAAATATATTAAATGAGAGTCGTTGATTTGATTTTAATTTAGTAATAATAAAATGATTGCAAAAGGTTATAAATAAAATTGTAAATATTACTTATAAAATAAATAAATATAATATATATATATATATTTTAAAAATGTTTTATGTGATCATATATACATGTGTGACTTCTAAAGGATTATCATGTTTTACTCACAACAATTGACTTTTTGTGGTAAGAATGCATCAAAATTAAATTTATATAAATTTCTTTGTAACAAATTATGAGGAAATGAATTTTCATCTTTCGTTTCAGGAGTGGCGGGGAATAGTTTGTTAATGACATTTTCCACATCAACATGACCATTTGTATTGCTGGAAATGTGTGAAATTCATCTATGTATACATGATTATTTTAATGAACCTTAAATTGCAAAGTAATTTTTTTTTAGAAATATTCTAACTACAATTTATTTTTTGATTAGTTTAAAAAATTAAACTCATTTCTACGAGTCAGGAGTGTCATCAGTTAATTTTGAAAATTTGTTGTTGATTTTATGATTTCAAAAAATAAAATAAAAATTTGACTATAATTTTTTTTACACATAAAATTTGAATATATATATATATATATTTTTTGGTACGCAAATTTGAATATATTTATTGTTAGAGACTTTAGTTAAAAAATTAATTTATTTTTCTAAAATTTTAAAATCAATAATAAAAGGTTCAAAATTAGGGGCCGATGATATTAAGAATCATAAAAAGAAATAAACTGCCTTTAAGAAATTTATTCTAGTTAAAATGAGTTAAAGTATAGTATAATTAATAAATAAATAAAAACATACATTTTTTGAATAAAAAAAGAAGAGAATGTAATTTAATTTAAGTATATTCCATTTACTCAAATATTGTATTGTCCAATGACCATTGATATGAGATTTTTTTCTTCTTCTTATTTTTGTTCATCATGACCACGACTTTATACTAGAAAATTGCTGTCATGAATTAGGATCCTAGAATTATTCATTAACGGAGAACATTTATTCTTTTTTATATGGCGCATCCAATATATATATATATATATATATATATATATATATATATATATATATAATTGTCTCTGAGAGTGACATCAGACCTGCTGCAAGCAGGATAAATCGAAGACTTGAAAGAGCTACAATTTGGCTTCTAGTCTTGCAAATAAAATGTATATATCTTCTTTCTTTTTTCCCCTTATGTTTCATATATACACCAGTCAAGGGAGAATGAGCAGGGTTACTTGCCCGCAAAGTTTTTTTAATTTAAACTCAATAACTTAAAGTATATTCAATCATCAATTTTAATAACTTAAAAATTATGATATATTTAAATTTTAATAATATATTCTTCTGATATAGGAGAAAAGTATTATCTCCAGAAAAGATATCAAAATTCAGGCTAGCTTTATTATTTATTTTTTAGTAATATAAGCTCTACTTTTGAGACAATTTTGTATCGATACCAATATGTAAATTTCGAGCACTTCTTTGGTGCAGCGGTAGGATCATACATTTATCTAAAAGGAGTATGAAAAAGAGATTTAGATGAAAATAAATTAAAAAGATATGAATTAAATTGGAAGAAAATTTTTTCCTTTTGAAAAAAAATATTCCCAAATAGATACATCCGCTGCACAATAGTCGGATTATGGGCAAAGGTAGGGGGAGTAGGGCAAATGCATTACTTTTTTAAATTCACATTTGCACAATTAAGATATAACATTCTTAGTGAAAGTAGAATTGGATGGCCCACACTACACTTTTAACTTGGTCCATTGCTTGATTTTTAAGGAATTTTCTTCTATACATCGGATGTACTTATTTGAGTACATCTTTTTACTAAAAAAATAAACTTTCTTCTTATTTTAATCGACACTTTTGTTTTTATTCTATCTCTATTCTAATTTTTTACTTTTTTGGGACAGATGCATGGTACATCGGTAGCACCAAAGCTTTGTTCGATTTTTACGTAGATAATGTTCAATCGTCTCACATCACGTGCACTCCGTGGTAGAGGCCAGGGTGTCCATGAAGTACATGACAGCCATGCGCAGCTTACTAGTTTACACAGTTTTTACTTTATTAGCGTCAAACAAATAAGGCCTCTAGAATTCGGACCATGGATTTGTGGGACATATAGGTTATTTTAATTGTTTGGCTAATAAGATAACGGTGTAAGGTAAATTTGTTGTCGTGATCCTGAAGGACGCTTGATAAATAATTGAGGGGTATATGCTATTTAGAGAATGAGGAACTAGTTTGAAACTGAGATCATAGCTGTCATTGACCCACTTTAGGCTTTAGACCTTTAGCTTTTCTTTCAACTTGCGTAATTCAAACAAGTAATAGGGAAACAAAAGTAATTAAAGCTACAAGACACCAACCTTGTGCATTTTAATATTTTCCATTTTCTTTAATGGTTGAGCAAAAAGTATAATCTTTCTGCCACAACAAGTAAGAGGACAACTTTAGCCCTTGTAAGGTGTCACGACAATATTAATAACTAAATGATGTTGAAGAACTCAAAATTTTACTTGAATTTTGGATTGGTACAGTGAGTGTAAATGTAGCTATCGATAGGATGTTGAAGTTGTGGCGTAAATTTGATATATTAATTACTTGGCATTAACAAAAATGGTTAAAAAAAAAAATTAACTTCAAAGTTTTAATTAATTGTTTGTAAATAAATTAAAGCATAAGCGAGTAAAGTTGGCCATCGTACAAGTCAAAATATAATAAAAAGTGGCAGGTTCGCGAGGTTGGTAAGTAGTAATGTAGCAATTAGAAACATTATTTGCAACAAAAAAATTCACATTGATCCATCATCCAACTTCAAATTTTTCTTTTTTCAATTCTTTTAAATAAACAATCTTAAACAATTAATGATTTAGTTCATAAGTTTAAATTTAATTAATGGTGTAAAATGTATTGGCACGCCATGAATTATTTTTTATAAACAGTTTTTGAACTGGTCAAACTTATTTAATGATTAATTAAATGAAAAAAAAAACATTAAATCCTTAGTTCTCTCAAGGGAGCACATTTTCGGTGCTTTACTCCAATTCCCAAAAGAGAAAAAAAAAGAATACAGAAGTAAATAATCAAAAAGGTATGGGTAATATAATTTTTTTTTTTTTTTCATATTTGATAAAAGATATCCGAGTATTTGGTAAACGTTATTGCAGTCTTTGCATTTCGGTCCCTTCTTAACGTTCATCGAACTCCAGCCATTTGAGTCTTCATTTATAATTTTAGTTGATGCTACTTTCGGTATACATATTGCTCACAAGTTTCTGCATATATGATATAAAAATGACAATCACATCACATCTCTTCTATTGATTACTCTTTTCTTTAAAACTATACCTGTATATTTGCAGTCTGAAAGCAAAAATAAAAAATAAATAAAAATAAATATATTTTTTTAAAAAAAGAATTAAGGCATATTGCTACTTTGTTGCTGTGCGCTCAGACGCCCATGTTTTGGATTTAATGTAAAAAAAAAAAAAAAAGTTATATATTTGTGTGGCTAGCTAGCTATGGTTGTGCATGTTACATGCTTATTGCTGTGGTCAAAACATGGACGTACGTAATTCATTTTCTTTACAACTAAGAAACCACTTTTGATTGGCAGATAATCTACCGTGTAGATTCATCATCCATCCTATTAGAGAAAAGAGATCTTCATGTTTCATGCTTAAGTCTGCAAGTGCAAAGCACCCCTTAAAAGGGGGGAAGTGCTTTTGGTCCAATCGCTGAGTTGAAAGAGATTGACGTTAAAAAAAAAAAGGTTGATGCAACTTTTAGAGAACTTTCAGTCATACATAGAAATTTTCAACTAATTTCAGTATAAATTATTTATTTTTGGTAATCAATTTTATTTCGTTATTACTAAAGGAAAAAAGTAAAAAAGTATTTGAACATAATAAAAATACAACTTTTAACAATATTTTTTCAATTCATTTTCCATCACGGTAAGGTAAGCTTGAAGGGATAGGATATTAATTTTGGGTAGGTGACGGTCATATAATGTCAAAAGATTAAACTCGCACTCGCAATAAAACACTCTTGGAGAGATATAATATTAGTACCATAAATAAGAATTAGTCTCATATATCTTAAATGAAAGGAGAACTTGCAATAAAAAAGTATATATGGCTAAAGAAATTGATAAATATATGTATAGTTGAATGCAATATGAATTATTAACATCAACATAATTTTATATTTTTTTAAACACTTGTAAGGATGAATTATTTTAATATTACAAGTAGGCATTAACCTCACACTAAAAAAAATGTTTCTTACCATGACTTATTAGGCTTGTAATAAGACACTAGGGTTGGATGTATGTATGTGTGTAAATAAAATATGAAATATGAATAATTAACATCAACATGATTTTGGATTTTTTCAAGATGAAAAATTTTAATAGTACAAGTGGAAATTAACCTCGCACTTTTTGGACCAAACCAAATTTAATTAAGAAAAATAAAAATCAAAACCTCCTTTCGAAAAACGCATTGGCTTTCACTCAAGTTTGAGGATCCATTAAACAAAGCAAAAAATGCACCTTTCAGTCATAAGCTAAATGTTCATTCGCGAATAAAGAGAATGCAAGCTATGCAAAAATGGATTTCAAACCGAAAAAAAAATGTTACTTACAATGACTAATCATGCTTGTGAGGACTGAGGAGACGCTCGAGTGTGTGTGCACGCGCGAAAATGAATTTCACGGCTATGTGATGTGTGATGTTTTGTTAGCAATTCTTAAGATGCAAGCTAAATTTTCCAAATCATTGATTTCCCTCAAAATAGCATTAAATTTGTAACTAATAAAAGAAGAACATGTATTTGAAAAATAGATACAGCAAGTGAAATAATTGTCAAATTCAGGACCACCAAATCAAATCTCAATTA